ACTGTGTATGTAGAAATTTTTGAAACGGTGTATGTTTGGCTATGTGTATTTTCAGCAAAAAACAAAGGTTGGCAAGTTAGAGGGTTAATATGTTGTGGGGTTGTTAACCAATGTCATAAAACAACGTGTACTACTGTTTCATGAGAAACTACCTGTTCTGTAAGCCTTCACCTGAAGTACAGTAAAATATAAAAAAAAAAGAAAAAAGAAAAAAAAAAATTAGCTCAAACCCTACTTTCACCAAGGTATTCTGTCTATAACGCTCATCTAGTTGAAAGCCTACCATGTGCTGAGTGCAGACAATACAAGTGAGTAAGATCCTGGCCCTGCTCACAGATGTGAGTACTGGTTATACTCCCCAGTGATGCCCAAGAATGCCCCAAACACTTCTTAGTTGCTCTCTCATTCTTGTAAGTCACAGGCAAGCTCCCAGAAGGCCAGGACCAAGGTCCTGTATCTCAGGAGGAAGGTGGCCTTGTGTTTAACTCATTCTTCCAAAATACTTCAACTTGTGGGCACTCTAGTGAAAATGCTAAGTAACTGGTGCTAAAACTGGAATTGGAGGAGGGTTAGAGAGGGTACTCCATCTGTTCTCACCTCTCATATCCAAGGAGGGCATTATTCAAATCCTCATTCACTTGAATTAGCTCAACAGTTACATCTTCATTCTCTACCACCACCAGCAGGTCCATGATCCTCTCCTGCATCTCTCGACTTGTCTTATAAAGTTTCTGCCAAAGAAATGAGAGAGATTTCTTCTTCCATATTACAAATATTCTACAAAAGAAAAATGACTTGCCAATCTGCGTATACCTATGATCACCTCCACACTGAGGCATCTGTGGGAGACTACCAAAGTACTTGACAATGGACAACTCACCCTTCCAAATAGAAGGTTAGAAAACGATACATAGAGTGAGTTATAAAATAATTACATTTTCCTCTGAAAATCAAAACAGGTGTCATAAGGTCAAAATGGTAAACTGGATAGAATGCTGGACTGGGAATGATAAGTGGTATATGGAATTATAAATGCATTGCTTATTAGCAGTGCAAACGTTGGGAAATAAAATACTTGTTTTCTAAATCTCATTTACTCATTCCATAAATTGAAATATCCTACTACTTGCCACATCTACCTCAATGATGACATAAAAATCAAGGAGGTGTGTGTAATGAGGAACCTTATAAACCACTACGTAAAACATAAAATGCTATTGTTGTTATTAGTGGTAGTGGGAAAAAGTTGTTAAAATACATTTACACAGCATAATTTTATTTCCTATAATGCTTTACTTAAATAAACATTTAAAGTTTACAGTTACTAATTACATTTCAAGGTAAACTGAACCAGGATTAAAAAAAAACTAGTCATTGATAATGTCCCTATTTGGACTATCTAGAATCATTGAATTAAACTTCAATGATACCCCAAACCAACTTTTTCTCTCGTAAGTATCAGAAGCAGCTATAGCCGACTTACTGATTCAGGATCTCTGGGGTTGGAATCTGGGAATCTACACTTTAAACAAGTACGCCAAGTGTTTCTTATGTACACGGACATTTAAAAACTGCTGCCTTACAGCTTACTTCCTCCAAGGCAAACCCCCAATAAACCTCAGGAGCATAAAACTGATATTAATATTTCTTCAACCCCAGCTTGGCTAGAATTTGTCCATGTAACACAAAATTAACATCAGCCAAAAAACAAGGGAAGTCTCTCCTTTCAAAATGAAAGCAGCAGAGCTTGCTAAAACATCACACTAGAATATTATCTCTTTCCCTCAAGAAAGAAAAACCTGCTGAAAAATTTATGCTTCATGGTAACCATTTAGAATCTCAATCTATTTCAAGACTCCTGACAGAAAATCTCTAAATAAATAAATTAAACTATTACTAACTGGCATTTAGACTCAGAGGTGAAAGCTTCTACCTCCACAAAATCATAACAAAAATGTTTAGAAGTCAAAATGTAACAAAGGAGAGAAGTGCAAAAGACAGAAGAAATTGCTAGGTTTTCATACTTGGCACGTGCAGCCAGAAAAGCTATCCTATTTGCTAATGACTTGGCCACTATCAGCAATGGCATAGTGCAAGGGTCAACAGAAAGCTAGTAAACATTTTCAGCTTTGCAGGTCATAAAGTTTCTGTTGTAATTATTCAATTCTGCTGTTGTAGCATGAAAGCAGCCATAGAAATACATGAACAAATGGGTGTAGTCATGTTCCAATAAAACTTTATTTACAGAGACAGGGTTCAGCCTATGGTTGGTATTCTGTAGACTTCTAGTATGCTGCAAAGAGAACAGACGTTGGACTCAGCAGACCTGAGTTCAAATCCTGCCTTTCCCCTATTTTATCTGTAAAACAAGTATAGCAGCAACTAAATGAATACTTTCTTTTATACGGATCAGAACAAAGCTGGTTCCTATGAGGCGGAGGTTAAAAATGTCCCAAATGTCTAACTTTTCCAAGCTGCTGTACCACTCCATCATCTCTAACATCAATGCCTCCCTCTTGCCTCAGTATTCTTCCTCCCGTCTTTGGGTTCCCTAATTTCTTGCAACATCTCACAGAACTCACAGATCGCATAAAGGAAATAGCTCATGAGGTTTTGGAGGCTGGCAAGCCCCAGATTCATGGGTCAGGTATAGACTTCTCCTGGCCCTCAGTCTCTGCTCAAAGGCACTCAGCTTTCTCACTCCGTGGGCCGGGAAGCCCACAGCGCTGTCTCCTGTGGGTCTCTACTGCGGGTTTCTGCTGCAGGTCTCTCCTTCTTTGGTGGTGATGGGCTCTCCTCTTTGCTCTGGGATTGGCTCTCTTTTAAGGCAAAACTGACCAGTCCCCTTGACCATTACCCTATCACACAGTTACCTGGGTGGGAGTTACAAGACCATGCCTATAAAGGCCACACCACACACATAAGTAATTAATTCACCACAGCAACTATCCTATAGGGTTGTTGTAAGAATAGAAAATGGTGTTGGTGAAGCACCACAGGGCCTGGCATACAGTGGGTAATCAATCAATGTGTTATGGTTGCCTGAAGAGGTGTCACTATAAGCTAGTAACTAATACAACTAACACAATCCTGTAGTACTCATGCTACTACTACTCAAGACCCGATATCATACAAAGGAAAGAACTGAGAATGACATTTAAAAGCAACCCCATTGTGAATGGGAACTTTTCCTTTGTTCTTGCTTTAGTGAGTATACAGAAATTGCTCCTCTTGTTGCTCGCTGGTAGCCTTGCTACAGCAATGTCAAGATCAAGGAAATACAATGGCTGTTAGATGCTTGTGACAAAAAGGTAGAAATTAATTTGAAATGAATTTGCAGCCAACATCAACAGCCCCTGGTCATATGAAGACCCTCCTTTTGCCCTTTCAAGAGACAGAAGGAACGGAAACATGAAAGGAGCACCACATGTCTCAGCAGGTTTGCAAAGCAGAATTTAAAAAACCTCTTCAAACGCCGGCCCACTCAGATCTTTGCAATTGATGTTTGTCTCAGAGGAGGGCCAAGCCACCTGGAAACAGCACAGATCAAGAACCATGGACAAAAAGGATGGGTCAGAAGTTCCCCGCAGCAGGCACTTGCAGGGCTGGTGGATGGTGGGGAGGTGGGGAGGCAGGGAGACAGGGAGCAGTCAACACAGAGTAACAGCTGCTGGTGCATATGTCCAGCAGAGAGACCCTGGAATGGCCTCCCTTTATACCCTATCAAAGCAAAGGCATGCTTCTAAGTTAAAGTGAACTTAATAGTCAATTCAAAGGTCTGTGGTGCAAAACAAAAGGGAGCTCATTAAGAGCTTCCTCTCCCTACATCCAGATGGCTCCTACTCCTCCACAGAGCACTCAGGAATTAAGGAAGGAGGTCTCTCAGCACTTTCAACTTCGACTATAATCATCCCACCATCACTCTCACAGGGAAACTCAGTACAAATAATAAATAAAAGTAAGTACCTGAACATCTCCCTTGAAAAAGTAAAACCAGGAAGAAATGTATTTGCTTGAAAGCCTTCTCTGGAAATAATATCTGTATGGCAATACTCTTACTATCAGGCCTTCACATATTTCTTCTTTCCTAGTACTCCTCACCTAGACTGCAAGACACCCAGAGAAGATGTCTATCTGCTCAAAATAAAAACTATTGCCCCTGCCCACCTACTGTAAAGTGGAACAATTCTCAGCCTAACTGGCTCATACAGTCTGTTTTTCCCTTAGACAAGCCTCAGATGAATGACAAGTAAACTGTCAATATAATCCTCATGAAGATTGTTAATTTATTAGAATCTTTCCAACTCTTTTTCCCAACTAAATAATGCCAACACTTTATTTCCCTAATGTCATTGTCTTCAATAAACCCTTAGGCCTTCTTTTGTCCTCAGTCATTAAGTCTTCAAAGAACATTAATCAATTCAACCAACACTTAATGAACTCATACAGTGTGCAAAACATACACGCTAAATATGCATAACTGCATTTAGTACTGTGATGGATTTCAAAGTATACGACTTGGTTTCTGTCTTCAAGTTGTCTCCAATCTAGCTCAAGAACTAAGACATCTCACATGAAAAGACAATAGGTTAGTCATCCATACTGGAAAGCCAACATGAGAAACAAGTTAGTACAATGGATAGAACTTAGGCTCGGAGAATGAGGTTCTAGCTCCAGCTCCTTCACTTGCCACTGTGTGGGCAAATCACTCCCCTCTGAAAATGCAGCCTCACCTGTAAAGAAAGGGAGATGGATTCAATGGCATCACAAGTCCCCTCGACTCTTAATACCTTACACCATTCTGAATGGTAAAGGCAATATGAATAGTCAGGGGAGGGATAACATTATTTTTTTTTACACTTTCTTAATTGGTTACAAATTATCCTCACAGGATCAAATTTTAGATTTCCTTGATTTTTATTTTTAATTCTTCTTGGGGCCCTGGTGGTGCAGTGGTTAAGAGCTCGGCTGCTAACCGAAAGATTGGCAGTTCGAATCTACCAGCTGCTCCTTGGAAACCCTACGGAGCAGTTCTACTCTGTCCTATAGGGTCGCTATGCGTCAGAATCGACTTGACAGCAATGGGTTTTTTGTTTCTGTTTTTTTAGTAAATTAAAGTTTTCTGTAGCTGTACTTTCAAAATCAACGCTTACTTTATACTACAGAAGGCTAAAAACATTCTTTTCTTTCAATGTCCTACTGGGGACAGGCAAAAAATAAGAAAAAGTGGGAGGTACCAGGGAAGGTCAACTAATCCAGGTAGGAGCCACTGAGCAAGGTACTGCAAAGCCAAGCACACAATGCCAAGAAATAAAAGCAGGACACTGTGATGCAGCTCTTCATTCCCATGGCTGGATCATCACAACTCTCATTAGACTGCATGCAGCCTCAGAATCCTTGTACTCCTCCTTGACAAACAAAAGAAATCTAGTCTCCACCCCTAGTGAAGTTCAAAGTTCACGAGTAGTGGGCAAAGGTTTCTAACTACAAAACATGCTTTCACTGTCTAAGAGTCTAACGAAGAATATGAGGCCAATTCATCAGCAGGGCTTCAGGATCTAATTGTTCAACATGGATTGAAGAAAGAAATAGGGGATTCCAAGTAAATATATTGAATTTCAGATGGAAGAAAACAGATAGGAAGTGGGTTCTAAATAAACAGAATAGCGTCTAGGAGGTAAGCACAACAGACAAAACAGGAAGAGGTTCCAGGTATAGAAGCTGGGTTTTAATGTTCACCTTGAGCACAAATAAGACTGTGATCCCTGGTAAAAAGTATATGTGCAAGAAGAGCCAAGAAACTTCTTACATGTGGAACACCTTCCTTTTGCCCTCCAAATTCACTGCCCACCCCCTCCACCCTTCTCTGTGCCCTGGGGCTGAACTGTAGGGACCACATCAACAGGTATCCTGTCCTCTTGCTTCTGGTTGGATCCGGCCAGCAGGCTTGCTGGCAGGACATGGGAGGAATGGCGGAGAGTGAGGTCTGGATATTTATTCCCTCTGCTCCTTCAACCAAAGGCACTGCTGCTCTGTCACATGATTCTTTCCTTTGGGTTCTGGAAAAAGTTCCCTCCTCTTAGCTGTTGATGACTAGGGATATTATTAGGCCATGTCACTAGCCCCAGGGTAGTGAATTAGTCCTGTGGTTTCTTTGGACCCTACCAAAAACCAAAGAACCAAACCTATTGCTGTCTAGTTGATTCTGACTCTTAGCAACCCTCTAGGACAGAGAAGAATTGCCCCATAGGGTTTCCAACGAGTGGCTAGTGGATTTGAACTGCTGACCTTTTGGGTTAGCAGCCGAGCTCTTAATAACTCTTCTCAAATAACCCAAATGGAACATGCCACCTGTACGACTTCTGAACCCTCACCAGCAGCACCTGTAAAGTCCCTATTTCTACCAACAGTCTGTTTATGACAATTTAGGTATTCTCTAAGGTGATTAAGTTTTCTCTATCATGCACTCACTTCCTTCAAAGCCCCACCAGCAGTACCTGTAACATCCATATTTCTACCAGTAGTCTGTTTATGGCAATACAGCCTTTTTCTATCATGCTTCTCAAAATTCTTCTAGCCTCTGTCCACTGCTCAATCCCAAAGTCATGTTCACATTTTTAGGTATTTGTTATAGCAGCACCTCACCAGGTACTAAAATCGTATTAGTTTCCTATTGCTGCTGTAACAAATTATCATCAACTAAGTGGCTTCAAATTACACAAATATACTTTTGCAGTCCTGAAGGTAAGAAGTCCAAAACCAAGGTGTTGGCAAGGCTACATTCCCTTCAGAGGCTTTACAGGAGAATCTGTTTCCTTGCCTTTTTCAGGTTCTGGAGATTGTCTGCAATCCTGTGCTCACAGCCCTTTCCTTGCAGCACTGTAACTTCCTGCTTCCTAACTCTGCTACTAACTCTGATCCTCCTGCCTCCTTGTTATACAGACTCTTGTGATTATATTGGGCCCACCTGGATAATCCAGGCTTCTCTCCTCATTTCAAGATCTTTAACTTAATCACCTCTTTCACCATATAATGTAACATATTCACAGGTTTTGGGAGTTGGGACATGAACATCTTTGAGGGGCCGTTATTCTTCCCATCATAGCCACCATAAGCGAGAGCTAGCAGAAACCAAGATACCAGAATCAGACCCTCAGAGACCTCTAATAATGGACCTATCAGATTTAAAACATAAAATAAGTGTGCTTAATATATTTAAAGAAATAAAATATAGACTCTAAAATCAGGATAAGAAGATACTAAAAAAAATGACTAGACTGATTCGAAAAAGAATCAAATAGAACTACTAGAAATGAAAAACATGGTGAATAAAATTCAACATAACGGATAGCTCAAATATCAGATTAGACTATTAAGGAGAGAATTAATAAACTTGGTAATGGATCTGAAGAAATTAGTGGACTGCATTGCAGACAGACAAAGAGATGAAAAACATAAAAAGGCATTTAAGTAACATGGAAGATATAATGAGACAGTCTAACATACAATTCTAGTTGTAAGTCTATTGTTATTTCAGCAATCAAACTTTGAATTTCCAAGAACTCTGCTTTTATTTCAGACCAACTTTTTTTTTTTTTTAAGGGACAGCTTTTCAGATCTCTTTGAAGGCCTTACACATACTCTAAAATTATCTTCTACTTCCTGATGTTATCAGTTTCCTTGGAGGTTAGTTCTTCCATTTGAGTTCATTTCTTTCCTTAATGCCATTGGTTGCCTCAAATGTTTAGTGATTAGATTGAAGTCTAGATCAGTGACCCTCAATTCTGCCTGCACATCACAATCAACCTGGATTTGGGAGTGGGAAAAACTGATACAAAAGAAAGTTTTATTTAATTAGTCTGGGCTAGGACTAGGGTAGCATCTCTATTGCTATTGTTGTTGGTTTTAGCTTCCCAGGTGATTCTAATAGCTAGACCCACTGCTACGGATTGATCATTATTGCATGGATGTGTGTGTGTAGAGGTAGAGGATGTGGAATGACGTGACGGGGGTAGATGCCGGGGTAGATGCCTCAGGGCATGTTTTCCTTTAAAGCAGAGTTTCTCATCTGCAAGTTTCCAGACCAGGCGCATCAGAAATGCTAGAAGTGCATTTTTAAAATGCAAATTCCTGGGTCCCATCCAGCCCTACTGCAACATTATCTCTATGGATGAGTCTCCTCACCTTCAAAGTTTAAGAATCCCAGAATCCCAGAAAGTGCCGGTCATCTTTCTTCTGGCTGCAGAGGTTCCCAGGTTCTCTTGGAAACCACCAGTTATTTGGAGGATGGCCCTGTTTCTCTGGCCTTCACATCCACCCTGGGAGTCCCTCACTCCTAAAGTTTAGCTGCTCAGACAGCAGGGGTCAGATGCAGCTGTTTCAATCTCCATCTGACTGGCCAAGGCCTGTCCTGTATTACTCTGATTTTGAGGTTAGTATTATGTTTCTTCTGGGAAATGTCCCTTTGGAGGGGTCTCTTTCATGAGTTCCTCAGTAGGTCTAATCGTATCTGCATTATAAGGCACTGAAAGCTCTCAATGTTCTGGTCTGCTGATGGCCTGCCCAGGCCTTCCTGTAATCCTCAGCATTTATTCTTATTTTCATATTTCTTTTGTCATCTTGATGGAATTTGAGTGAGAGAGGAGGTAAATTTATTATTACATCAAGCTAAAAATATTATCATTACCTGGTTATGGAAAAAAATTAAATGTCTCTTTCACAACTTATAGAGCTGACCAGGTATCTTTATTACTTTCTTGCAGTTGAACTCCCTCCCCTGTATTGTGCCCATGCACTGCCTTTCATATTGCTGCCTCCTCCTCTGATGCCCCTAGACTCATGCTGAAGCCTCCCAAAGCCCCTACAGTTACATGAGGGCAGCCAGGCAGACAGCTAGCATTATCTGGGGCTTCTAACTCTATTGATCTGAACAGTTTAGGTTGTAACTCTACTGATCTGAGTACTTCCAGGGTGAGAAAACCATTTGAAAAAGCAATAATTAAAGAATTATGTTGTTTCTCCATACTCTATTTTTGCTGGCTTTATTTTTAGATCCTTGAATCAGATATGCATTTTGTCCCCTCTCTCCCTAGGAGATTTTATCACATTATTTTAGATCATGTTGGGGAGTGTTTAGATTTAAAAATATTTATCTGTCCAAATATTTGTCAAATTATGAATAGCACTTCCCATACCAGATCTCTATGTGATAATAACAAAAGCATTGAAAGGAAAATAAACTACACATTCAATAGCCTCTATAAACAAGTTGATCTAATGCCAGAACCCATTCAACTTCAATCGGCCATGAGTATTATTCTAATGTTGACTAAGTCTCTTCACTATTCAAAGCAACACAGAGCCTCCAGCTTTGGCATTAAAACAGCAACCAACAAATTAGCATTATCTGTGCAAAAGTCAACCAAACATCTGCATCAAAAGATTCTGAGAAAATAAGGCATTTCACTGTATTCCAGGATAGAATAAAATCTAAAACCGGATTCACATATTGAAATGGAACATTTCACTGTTTATTTTTACTGGACTATTTGCTACAGATTGATTAAAAAGTGAGAAAAAGGTCATAAATCCTTTCATTTTAGAGCTCTGAAAGACCCTGGAAGAGCATGTAGAACTAGAAATATTGCTGTGGCCATTTCTGAAAAATACCACCTGCCACATACTTACTTCCTTACTTTGATTTTTAATTTTTACATTTTACTGAACATACTTGTTAACATCACAAGTTCTTAGAAATTCTTTATCTGTAAAAGTCCCCAAGTGTAGATTTTAAAAAGGATTAACCCATTGCCATCGAGTCGATTGCAACTCACAGCCATTCTATAGGACAGAGAACTGCCCCCCCCAGCGTTTCTAAGGCTGTGATCTTTAGGGAAGCCGACTGCCCCATCTTTTTCCCATGAAGCAGCTGGTAGGTTCAAACCACTGACCTTCTAGTTAGTGGCCAAGTTTTTAACCACTGTACCACCAGGGCTCCTTTTAAAAGGATTACTACATATGAACTCTATTTAAGGATTAATTTTCATTTTTAATCTCCTACGTGCTCATTCAGGTCCAAATGCCTGTCTACTTTCTCCCTCACAGACTATTATCTCCATGTAAACCTTTCCCAAAATGTTTACCTTTCTCCTTGCTCCCACCCATGATCCCACCATATACTGAACAAATTTATACTACAGAGTCTACAACACTTTATTGTATTATTATTTGCAAAACATTATTTTACTGTGCTATTATGCTTATTGTTTACACAACAATCTTGTTCAGTAGACCTAAGTTTCTTGAGGACTAAAACAGTCTCCTCATTTCCATATCCCTTCCCCCATCACAGTTACTCACTATATTGTTAAGTGGATGAATTTAGAGGCAACTTTTACACGTATAAAAATTAGAGACTAATATGAGACTGTATATGACCAAGGCTGTAAATGATACTAAATTTATTTGTTTAAAGAGGGTAAGGAAAATGTCTAAGTTATTTCTGTACTTTTAATAAAGTCATCCTTGATTCTTTTTGTGAAGTTTAGAAATCAGTTGAAGTTAAGACGGAGAAGGATGGACCAGACAATGTTAAATTGTCTTCCATCTCTAAGGCTCTGAGTTTAGAAAAGAACTTTAAGAGACACTTAAACTGATTGTCCCTGAAACCATACCACACCTGCAGAAGCTCTATATCTTCATAGTTTTCAGACCCAGGGGTGTTCTCCATTAATATGGTGGACATCACTCTCACATTCATTTTCACCATATCCAGCTCACTGTGTAATTTTCCAATCTGCCGAGAGCAACGCAAGCACTAGTCAGTAAGTGTGGGACCAATGAACCACTACCTTGTTTCCTGTTCCTGGGGGACATTTACTCGAAGAGAAAATGCTTTAGCAAAATTTAAGATGTTCAAACTTATATAAGTATACATATACATATTTATTTTACAAATGTATAATCTGTTACCTCCTAAAAGGATTTGCAATCTCTTACAATAAACTCAAAAATATGCTCTAGGAAAGTTAAAAATGAAGAAAAAGAATTCAGATCAGAACCAGTATTGAGAAGGGAGAAAGTGACTATACTAGGAACCCGGATGAGATAGTTTCTAAAAACAAAAGCAAGTATTAGTCTGGACTTTTTGGCAACCAATGAGAAAAGAGGAAAAATGAAGGTTTTTATAATTCTTGTGGTATTAAAAAAGAAAGAATCAAGAGATAAGCACTTTTTTTTTTTCTGCATTAAACCCTAAGAGGAATTAATCAAATTGACTTTTATATAAGGAATCCTGAAGAATAACAACATGAAGTCTTCGAAGATATATCCCTTATAACAGGACAGAAATGAACTTCATATAATAATTGCTTATATGGACTCTTCATAAAAAGCTATAGACAAAGTGGTAAAAAATAATTTAGTTGGCACAATTAGCACTAAGTAATAAGAATACCACTTACTGAGCTCTCTGAAAGAGTATATGGACAGTCCTGCCAGGAGAAAGTAAAATCAGCTGGTGGACACAAGATCCAGGCCATAGCCAAGCCTCCACAAAGCCCTGAATGCCAGAAGCTGAGCACAGCTGTTAAGAGCTTAGGCTTGGGAATCAGACAGAATCTATGGGATTAATTCTCCTTAGGACTGAACTGTGATAAGTCACATAACATCACTAAGTCTCAGCCTCCTCCTCTGTAAAATGAGGATAATAATGTACCTACACCTTATAATGTGGTTAAGAAGAAAAAATGAACTGTATATATAGAGCTTAGAACTTTAAAAAAGTCATCAATAAACACTATTGCTGTTGTTACCTGTTCTGGGACCAACATAATGGTTGAGCTCTTCGGAGCAACTATAGAAGAAAGAGCCGGTGCAGTAGGAACAGATGTTGGTGGATTAGATGAGATCTCAGCAGTCTGTCAATATGAAATATGGAGATATTATTACCTGAATTCACATAGCCACCCCAAGCCCAGTTTGTCCATCTAACTGACTCAATCACTTTCTCTCAACCAAAGCCTTAGGTACAGTGCTAGCCTGGAGTAAATCATCCAGAGTACAACTTGCCCAACATTTTGAGAAGAGTGCTAAAGCAAATGGCATGCCCGTAATAGAACAGATACGAATAACAGATGACTGCTAATGTGATTATTAACTGAATTACAGTTTAATCAAATGTTTAATAAAATAACATGGCTTTTACCATGGGTCTACATGATAAACTGCAATGTGAAATTATTGCTGCCCTCTCTTTGGACTGTTAAAAACAAATGCTAAATCAATTTATGTCAAGTCTTTTTAAGCTATAGTTGGCAAGGCATCGCCTTCACCAATGAATGCCTCCCTAAGCCAATGCCTCATTTCCATCCATGGGCGGAGAGCCCAAAGCCCAGGGATCTACGCTAGTACATCCACTACATCTTGACATTAATATGCACAGAAATCACCTGGTAATCTTGTTAAAATGAGGATTATGATTCAGTGGTCTAGACTGGAGCACACTTAGATTTATAACAAACTCGCAGATTATACCCCCACTCACACTTTGAATAGCAAAGTTCTAGGCTACTACCATATTGTGCCTTGGAAGAAAGAAGAAAAGGGATATGGTGAGCAGGCTCATAGGTAGATGAGAGAAAAGACGGGGCAGGGGTTAATGGCTAGGAGCGCTTGCACAGGTAAAAGAGTTAGTGCTCAAGACAGCCTCCACGAAGTAGACTTCTAGCATACACCTGAATTATTTATTCCACAAAGACAGTACTTGCCAATCTACAGAAGGGAAGAGCTACTATTTCACATTATGGTAATTACAGAAAGGCAAGGGCTGAATTATAATCAGCTACTCAAAGCATCACAGGTTCAAAACCTCGAAAATTATTTGCAAGCATGAGAATGGATACATACGAACTTTTAGAAACTCTCCCAGTAGAACAGCTATTAATAATAAACTAAAATGCATTATATTACTTATGGTAGAACCTATTATTTTGCCTGTCCAGCACCAACCCTTTCTTTTGAAAACTGCCCCCTCCTCTATTACATACAAATGATTCCCATGGAAGCTCCCATGTTCTTACATGATCTCAGCTGATTTGTTCAGAAATGGGAAACTGAACCAAACTGATTCAATGTGTCTCTTCTCCAAGGTTTTTAGACTTGGAATCTGAAAAAGCTAAGCTATAACATGAAAATTTGGGAGCTGTTTCCACCATGTGGAAAAGCTAGTCCGTAATGAGCGAGAACAACGAAGCTAATCGTCAAAGACAAGTAGACAAATTAAAGGCATTTGAATGCTTGGTTCTCTGTTGTTTCAACAGTCAAGCTAATACCAACCTTTTTGTGGGTTTGTTATTATAGGAGATATCTTAACACCCTTCTAATAATGTCTACCTTTTGCTTAAGGTAGGTGGAGCTAGGTTTGCCCCTTGCAATGAGAAAAGACTCAAGTAATATACTATCTGACCCTACGTGGGTCAAGAAAGGGCCTCTTACCTGTGGTGGTGTTGTTTCAGCCTCAGCATCTGAGGAAGGAAACTGTACACCTTTCTTAACCAGGTCAAGGTACACTTCTTTCACTTCACTTACATCCACACCGCCTGAGAAACCCTGAGACCAAGTCTGAATCCAAAAGATGGAAAGTTCCAGAGTTAAGACAGCAGCAAAAACAAAACACAATTCTTAAGTAGGTGACAGAAAATGGGAGATTGAGAATTATGTATCTTACTCAAAAAGAGAAAACTTTTGAACGCCATGGACAAAGTGTACATTTTCAAAGACTAGAATAATAATACAAAATATTTTTTATCATCAGACTCTCATGTTTCAATACCTTAATGAAATCCTGGGATAGATACTATTGATTGGTTTTTGTTGTACTGGATTCAGAATCAATAGATTCTAAAATACCATCAGGAGCTTTTTTGCCAGGTAACCTTGAACTAGTCAGTTAACTACTCCAGGACATAGTTTCCATATCTGTAAAATGAACATACACACAACAATCTTTCCTATCTGACATGGATAAAACAGAAACTGAGAGTAAAGTAGGGAAATGATCCCAAATTCTTCAGAAAAAAAGGCACTATCCAATGACAAGAAATTATTATTACATAGAAAATAGTAAGAATGTTTTCTGGCTCAATGCTAGGTTTGTAAAGGATCCCTGAACCAATCAGGAGGTATGTAATTAAGTCCCTAATCTTAGAAGTTTACCATCCCATGATGTATATAACAGACTTACCTTAATGAAATTCAAGATTTTATTCTGAATGTCTAATGGCAAGGTGTATCTGGGATTCAGCAGCTTAACTAGACAGTCTTTCACGAATTCCTTCTTCACAATTAGAGACTGGAAACTTGGACCACAGTTCTGCAGGCACATGTCAATAAGCTAAATTAGGGAGAAAAAATAAATATTATATTTCTCTGTAAAAACTAGCTTCTAAATATAAGGCAAAATAAAGATTTCCACTAACATTTTAATTGATAAAAACAATTTAGTATCGACTAAAATATAGGGTAAAGTGTTAGGTTCAGGGGGTGTGAGGAAATATAAGGCATAATGTAATTGCCTTGGGGAAAGACCTGTTGGAGAGTCAGGACACAATTATAAGAGCATTAATAGCAACGCAGGGTAGTAAATGCCAAGTGCTAAATGGGAAGTGCAAACAAAACACATGGGCTATAGACAGGGTTAACATTCATCCTACTTTCCCCAGGGCAGTCCTGGTATATGTCTGCTGTCCTGGCTTTACTACTGCTCGTACCCCCTTTCACTCTCAGAAGTGTCCCAGTTCGGATGATAATTTACATAGTCACCCTAGCTATAGACCTTTATAGGCAAGTGCAATAAGTCTTACAAGACTTTTGGAAAAGGCTGAGTAAAAGATGGCTAAATAAAAATAAACACGGAGTTATATTCTAGACATGGTATAAATGGTATAAAAAAATACAAAGGTAGCAAAGTGCACGAGTTGTAAGGGGGGAAATAAGTACTCCAGTTTGTCTACAGTAGGTGCTTATTTATCTGGGCAAATTGGGGATACTGAGGTGGTAGGGTAGATAATAGTCTGGAGGGGTGATATTTAGCCTGTAGTAGAGAAATTTGAGTGGCAGTGTAAAGAGTCTGGACGCCATCTAAAAACACTGAGGAGCCACTGAAGAGTTTTTGTTAGTTCGTCACCACCACACCTCTATTCCAAGCTTAAGAGAAAAGTTAATATATGAAAGGTAGTACTCTGGAGAGGTTGTCAGGCAGCAATCTTCAGAGGGATTTGGAGGGGGAAAGATCCTGGAAACATGGAGAGATCCAGTAGGGATGCACTAAAACCGAAAAACCAAACCTGTTGCCGTCAAATGGATTCCAACTCATAGTGATCCTATAGGACAGAGTAGAACTGCCCCATATAGTTTCCAAGGAGCAGCTAGTGGATTCGAACTGCCGACCTTCTGGTTAGCAGCCAAGCTCTACACCATTGTGCCACCAAGGATCCAGGGACACATTAGTACAGTCATAATATAGAAATAACCTAGGATGGTGTGGGATGCAAGGAAGGGAAAGACACAGGAGAATTATGAAGGAAGAACTTTTCATGGCTGGGTACTTGCTGAGGAAGGACAAAGACCAAGAGGTAAGTGACTTTCACTCTGCATAAGACTGATAGCATCTTTGATGGAAATCTAAAGTGGATATGGTGGTATGACTCATCTAGGGATAAAAAATGATGGGTTGATAGGCTTTCTGAGTTTAAAAGGATAGTAGGATACTCAAGTAGAGATGTTTAGCAGGGACCTGTACATGCATTGCTACAGCTCAAGAAACTGTAGGGCCAAAAGTAAGTCATCAAAGCTGCCTAAGATGAGTAGAGAGGAGGAATGGCTGGAACACTGGGATTTACCTACTACACAAGTTGGAAGGAACTCAATGAACACAACTGAAGAGCAACCAATGGAAATGGAAGCACAAAAATAAAGTGAATGTGATGTTGATACAGCCAAAAGAGGGCAGAGTTTCTGCAGGGAGGGGCATGGAGTGCTAAACAGTCAAGAATACAGACTGAGAAAAACTTGACTAGATTTGTTGATTAGTGGAGTCATTATTCACCTTTAAGAAACCATTTTTAATAAAGCAATATGAATAGAAGTCAGGTTAAGAAGGAATGAGCTAGTACTGAAGAACTGCATGCACAAAGCAGAGTTCCAAGAGTGACCTAAAAACAAAATTAAATCTCTAGTTTCAATGCTACCACCTCGTGTTAGAGAGGTCACAGAAACCATAACATGACCAGCATAGGTACAATCATCTCTATAGAAAAGAAGCCCTGGAAATTGACTTTATACCATGCTCTGTATTTTGAGTGTCACTTTAATGGCACTACAAAAAGAAGCAGTGGGTGTGAAAGCTGTAGTTTTAAGGGCAATGTGGCCAAGAAGGAAATCAGAAAATACAGAAGCTAAGTACATGCAGCTGTGGGAAACATGGAGAAAACGTTTAAAGCAAGGGAAAATAAAAACAAAATCTAAAACATATTAAAATGATTCTATATTAATGCAAGTTGGTTAGAAGATGATGAGCTGAAAAGTTGAATAACAAATGTCTTTTAGTTTGATATATTATTATGATGATTTTTTATTGGGTGAAATGCTGAGAGGAAAAGTGCCTCTAATTCAGAAGGAGTTGATAGAAATACTTCGCCCAACTAGTCGCGTGGTCTTAGGCAAGATACTTAGCCTCCAAGTCTCATTTTCTCTAACAGTAAAATGAGTGGTGAATTTTTGCTAAACATTCACAAACCAATTTCTGTCTCTGGAGCACCAAGATTTTATGATAATGGGTAACATTCCCAGGAAGTACATGCAGAAAATCAAAGAGCCAACATGGAATGTTGAGAAGGTTGACATCTGGAGATTAGCAATCATGTCCTTTGTGTTTTCCCTTCGGAATCTTGTATGTCAGGACTAATTACTTCTACATCACCACCTCTATGTTACCAATATCTCTTCCTACTCCCTCAGCCCACACAGGTAAGTAGTAAAACCTATTGTGCCAAATTGGAAACATTAAATATTTTGCTTAAATGCATTCTGAAATTGGGCCTTGGTGCAAATGTGTTCAGATAACCTATCTATGGAAATAGAACAACCAAGAATCCATAATCAGACTGGATAGAGAGCCTAGGAGACAAGGGATTAAGAGAGACTAAAGTGGGAGACTCCAGGCTTCCCGATCTCCTTTTGCTCTCGATTGGGCAAATCATTTATTCTTATTAAGCATCACTATCTTCGCAAAATGGGCAAAATACCTTCCTCTAGAGGCTTATTGTGAGGACGAAATGAAATATAATCTGTATGAAGAGCCTGACACATAACAGGACCTCAGTAAATAACTATTTTGATCATCTGCTTCCCTGCAGAATTCCCTATTGGTAGAGAGAGAGAATATGTTGATTTGCAAATATGAGTACTCTTTTTAGAGAGACTGGAAGAAGGGGAGTTTTATTTCTCATAGTAAATTTCTAAAGCAGATACAAATTTATTAGTCAGCCCTTTGTAAGTTGAATTAGCTAAGTAAGTACTCCAGCCTGATAACCCCAGGTGCACTGACAAAAACCAGGCCTCTGAGCCATCAGAGCAGAAGACCACATCTGGACCATGGGGACCACACCAAAGTATGACCACCCTAAGATGACCTCCCTAGGGGACAGTGCACACTTCTCACTCCGTAACTAAAACAAGCTCCTGGAGAGATAATCACATTTTCTACCTCGTCTAAAACCCCCATACCTCATCACCTACTGGGTGCTTCACAAAAGGCTATTAGTTAAATAATTCCCAGGAACCTGTTCAAGAACTTTCCGTTTGACAATAATAGTAGTATCTTGTTGAGATTTATCACAATTGACTCATTCAAGAAAAGGCTAGTTTCTGGCTCAGAGTTATAAAGCCTGGAAACAAAGTGCCTTTTTTTTTTGTTTTTTAACTACTGGCTTCTTGACAAAACTGCTCCACCGACTTGATGTAGGAAATCACAATACAGTCAGATCTCATCAAAGACCTAATCAAGGCTAACAAGCCCATGGAGAACCCAAAGTGACAGATAATACAGAGAACATTTACAATTGATTTTGACAGGCTCTCATCACTTCATAGTAATAAAGAGGAAATGTCAGATATGAGGATTAATTTGTAAAGAGCTTATTGGTAAACTTATAATTGCCTTTGACAAGCATTGGATAATTCCTTCTGCAACTAATTTCCCACATAATTAAGTTTGGCTTAAATACTTAAGTACTGCAGAGAAGTCAGCTTCGAGGCTTAAGCACACATCTGCAGCCTGAGGTGAGGAGACTGGTCCGTTAGATATAGAACCTGGAAAAATCTGCCTGAAGATATCAAGAGTCAAATGACTATTAAAAGAAAATCCAAGAAAGGAGGTATTTTCCCAGACCTCAAATGAATGCGGAGCCTAACAATGAGGGCATATTCTGACCCCTCAACCTGTGATTCTTACCCTTATTTTGGTACAGATTTAGAATTGCTTGTTCTTATGTAATGGTATGGAAATCATGAAGCAGAGATCCTATCATTATCGGAGATAGAACAGATAATGGGAACAGGCAGCTAGCTGGCAGTAAGGCTTTAGAGATTAGATTACTTGAGGGGAAGGAAGAGTGGGAGCACAAACAGAAACAGAGGATAAGAAGGGATGATGCTCCGGAATGACCCAACTTCCTCAGGGAAGGGCTTTGGTTTGTTTTCAGAAAGAAGGAACCATGATGGAGGAAGATATGGAGATGGGGATGAGAAGCAACTACAGAAATGTCAAGTAGGTTGGACACAACAGAGAAAGAGCTAAACCTATTAAATAACTGTGAAAAGAATAAATAATTGTGAGAAGGTGAAATAATATCCCATGCTGAAATACAGAAGGTGGCATAAATTCATTTTTACCCCTTATCTACCTCACTCAATTCTCCTAACCTTCTGCAGCCTTGAGATACCTTAGATTCACATCATTTTAGGGCTCATCTTCAGATATTTCTACCCTAATTCTATAGTACCGAGGAGCCCTGGTGACAAACAGTTGTTAAGTGCACGACTGCTAACCAAAAGGTCTGCAGTTTGAACCCACCAGTTGCTCCATGGGAGAAAGACGTGGCAGTCTACTTCTAAAAAGATTTACAGCCTTGGAAATCCTATGGGGCAGTTCTACTCTGTCCTATAGCATCGCTATGAGTTGCAACTGATGGCAATGGGTTTGGTTTGGTTTTCTATAGTACCTTCCATCAGCCCTTGAGTTTTCCTGGATAGTGGAAAAGGTAGGGTAGGTTGTGGGGGGCACTCAATCATTGTTTCAGTCAACATCTGGTACACTAATGCATTGGACACTACACTACACAAAAAGTAGCTGAAGATGACAAATGAAACACAAGTCTCTCCAAACAGGTTTGATTCATTTTGAGAAGCAATGTGCTATGGGGGAAAGGGTAGGGAATTTAGAATCTGAGGGCTGCTTTCAAATTCTGGCTATGCTACTTCATGTTATTTAATCTTGAAAAGTCACTTAGTCTCAGTGTCTTCATCTGTGAAATGGTGTTAACAACACAACTACTTCACAGAGTTGTCGAGCACATTAATTGGGTAAGTGATTTGAAAAGTGCCAGTCAGAGGTTTATTTCTGTCATTGGCTCATTGTTCTAATATTTCTATGTAAGCATCTTACACCTCTCTCTGTAGTTTCCTCCATTCTGGGACCTTCCTGAGGTAGCTGCTATGAATAAGGGACAGGGAAGAGGCCAAAAAAAGGTGAAGGAGGGAAAAACCTCTAAAACTATATTCAACCCCCGACTTGAAGGTTTTTTCAGTGATAGCATCACTAAGATTGTTCAATTCATTCCTTCTCATTCCTTTCACTTAATCTCTGAATAAGCAAGATACGATAAACTTTCTTCCACGTGAAACTAGAAAATGAGAGCTGTGCACACGTCTGCCCCATAGCCCTCTCTTGATAAACACTCCTAAAGCTCCAAAGAGCAGTGTGATGCTGACTGATTAGTGAAGTAACCAAGCACCGGCCTGGGGCTGGGCTGAGGTCAACAAGGGTGTGCAGAAGAAATCAGAAAGCCACAGAGCTCACTCTCAGGCAGCAGGCAGGGCTTGCAAAACATACCAAAGAAAAAAGGGCAACTCACCAAAGTGACTGAAGAGGTCATATGGTCAAGGATCAGGGGGAAATAGGAACACGTCAAATAAGCTTCCACACTCAAATCAGAAAGTATTTGGAGAATTGCTTAAATCAACAAAGAACATTTCTCCAAATTATACCAGGCAGCAGAACTTGGTTGAAATATAACGAGCTGGCAGCATCTCAGGATTCCACACAGGTTTTCAAATAAGATAGAAAGCTAATGGGGAGGCATTTTTCAAGACTTCAATTCTCCCACCTTCAAATAACAGTTAACACACACAAACTTCTTGATTGGTTCAGCATATACAATATAAGTTTTTAACCACCAGTTCCTAGTTCCTGACCAGGAAAAATCAATTTTCTAGCAAAGTTCTCTTTCTAAGAAATTAAATGCTATTACAATCAACTAAACTCTCTGTTCTGCAATTTTCAATAAACCAACATTTTAACTCATCCTGCAAAGGACTCTTTGCCAATTCTATTAATTATCTCAGAGTATTTCATTTTTTTTTTTTTTAATCCCAGAACTAAAAATAAGATTATAGCTTGGAAAATCCCAGAGTTTTAATTATAACATTAAAGTACTTACTGACAAAGTAAGTTGGATTTCTTTATGATTGTAGTTTTTGGAAATCCTTTTCTTCAAAGCTTTCACTGCATCTTTTGGCCTACAGCAATAAATACAATGAAATCACCAATTTAGGCATTTGCTGAAAATAAGCAGTCTCTGATAAACACTATGCATTGTGGAAAAAGGAATGGGTAAGGACTGGACAACCAAAGCTCTACTCTTGGTTCTGCTGTGTGACCCTGGGAAGACCACTTAACTTCTTGTGCCTAAATTTACTCATGCACATAGGCAAACAATACCACCTACCCCACTGTGAGAACCAAATAAAATAATTGTGTACCTGAATGGGTACAGCATCCTAGAAAGCACTATACATGAAATGTGCTCATACTCGTATTCCTCTACTAATGCACAGAACCAGTTTATAGGAAATGTAATTTCCAAAACAATGAAGCTTGCTCATTTTAATTTA